TTCGTGTCTGCTATTCAACATCGTGTTAGAAGGTGTGATCAGAAGAGCTGGGAGTGGCACGATCTTCAGGATGTCCATCCAGCTTCTTGGCTTCGCCGATGACATTGACATCATGGCACGGAACTTTGAGACGATGGCGGAAACGTACATCAGACTGAAGGCTGAAGCTAGGCGGATTGGACTTGCCATCAACGCATCAAAGACAAAATACATGAAAGGAAGAGGTTCTAGGGAAGACAATGTTAGCCTCCCACCCCGAGTTCAGATTGACGGTGACGAAATCGAGGTGATCGATGAGTTCGTGTATTTGGGCTCACTGGTGACCGCTGAAAACGATACCAGCAGAGAAATTCAAAGACGCATTATGGCAGGGAATCGTGCCTACTTTGGACTCCGGAGGACGCTCCGGTCGAATAAAATTCGCCACCGCACGAAGTTGACTGTCTACAAGACGCTGATTAGACCGATGGTGCTCTACGGCCACGAGACCTGGACTATGCTCGTGGAGGACCAACGCGCCCTTGGTGTTTTCGAACGGAAGGTGTTGCGTACCATCTACCGTGGAGTGCAGATGGATGACGGAACGTGGAGGAGGCGAATGAACCACGAATTGCACCAGCTGCTGGGAGAACCATCCATCGTCCACATTCCAAAAATTGAGCGACTACGGTGGGCTGGGCACGTCGTCAGAATGCCGCACCACGACCCAGTGAAAAGCGACCCAACAGGAACAAGAAAAAGAGGCACGCAGCGGGCAAGTGGATCGACCAAGTAGAAGGCGACTTGCGGACCCTTCGTAGACTACGAGGTTGGCGAAGTGTGGCCATGGATCGAGTAGAGTGGAGACGACTTCTTCGGACAGCAGAGGACAACAAGGCAGTCTGATTGGTAAGGTAAGTATTCTAGCTTGAGCTTGAGCTTGAGCTTGATTGACCGCCCACGGTTGCTACTCTGTTATTGCCAGATCAGCTGTAATTACACAGAGAACCAATAGACGATGCTTGGGACTAGCAATCATCCTCAATGTGTAAAAACTGGTGATCTTAAATTAGGCAATACCAGCGCCGGCCGCGCCCGAACACAGGTCAAGAAAGGAATGGGAAGGATTGTGTTGACATGACACTCGCTTTGATGGAAGCCGAGAACACCTCTGCACTTCCACGAGGAATCACTGGTATGTTGGATAAGAGGGTTGGGTTTGCAGCAGGGTTCGTTTTGGTAAACGATAAGCTGAATTGATGTCCTAACGATCATATAACGCGAAGGAGCTTGGGACTAAACCCACGGTCTTCTGCTCAGTAAGCAAAAACGTTTGCCACTAGGCAGACGAGCACCTTTTTAATCACCGAGTTGCTGTTATTACCATGTAGTCATATTAACAAATAAAACGATTGACGAATCTTGATTGTGGATGGGCCTGAGAATAGACTCATGATGTTCTGCTCAGTAAGCAAAAACGGTTGCTCTAAGGCCACCGAGCCCCTCATATCACATAATACCGTTGCTCAAATTTGTGTATCCATTCAAACCCGGAACCAACGACAACAACGAGTTTCGCAAAATACACGATACACAAGCGATTTTACCATAAATCTCTTTGATATGTAAGGACCTGGGACCACGTTTTTCTGCTCAGTAAGCAGGCCACTGTAACCGACGATCTTTCAAATCCGAAAACTAAAAACTACGAAACTACTTAGGTCTTCATTAAGTTCCACTTTCACGCGACGTACAATGTTTCAATTTGCTCTTTACGTATTGTTCAGGCTAGGCCCTTTTCAAAATTTACGCGAGAAATACGCACAATCGTCACCTACCTCGCAAAACTGGTTCCAAACGACAACAAAGGCATAAGCAACGATGGATTGTTGAACTTTGCTGGCTCCGGTGGTGTAGTGCACAGCCCAAAAAATGTAATATCGATCAACGCAATTCAAGCTGATGTATGAAATAATGATGTAATTGTAATTTTGTAATTTATCAGCACACACCCTGGTCGACCACTGTAAACCAATCTGCCGTTCAGCGTTTTCGGTTTTTGTTTCTGGATCTTTAGTTGCCTCTGTGATATACTTACTTGCGGCATACTATTTTGGGAGTGTACATGAGCGTGTACCATGTACGGTAGCTCATCTCTCATCGTGATGGTGGGACATAGTAGACAAATTAGAGAGAAAACAAGGAGGTATTAGTATTAGTTATATGTAAACAAACAAAACAAAAGTTAGATAATGCGGCACTGTAACTACTACTATTTTAGAGGTATGATTCGTCATGTTTAACTCAATGTTTCAATTGAGGCAAACTATCTATCTTACAATTACAAGAGCAAACCTAAACTTACAATTATATGCAAATGCAAAATGAAACTTGACAAATCATCGTCAATTCCCTTATTCCAGGGCAGGGCCTGACGATTTGAATCTAATTTTGATCAGTGAACGGGCACCATATGGTACATTTTCTCACCATGAACCTATCATTTCCAGCCTATCTGAACTATTTAATAAATGGAAGCCATAACATGGGTTACGCTCCCCCTAAGCGGGCCCTCCGCATCCTGTCTCTGTCTTATCTCAAATACAAAATGCCAATGGTATGAATGTATCTATATATAACTTGGAAATGACGTACAATCAAATAAACCCGTAACCCACTCACTTGGTCAGGCTTCAGAATCGTCCAGTGGGCAGTGCACTCTACACTCCAAGTTCCCTTTTTTCAAATTTACCGCAAATTTGATATTTTACCCATTGAGTGTTGATTAGTCACAATGAAACATTGTGACAGAAGTTGAGGTTACTAGTGTATTAAATAATCTAGGTCCTATTTAGGATTATATCTGAAAAATCCAAATCTGGCCAACGCCCACCCTAAACCTAAACCTGTTCTAATCCACCTGAAATGACTAACGAATGGAAGACTTTGACTACCCAGCCATGCAATAGTCTCATTCCGTGCCTTATGGCAACTTGATGATTCTATTGCGCTCATCTTCTGGCACCACCCAGGGGAGACTTGGTCCTGTACCCAATGCTTAACTTATCTCCATTCCACTCAGCTACTCGCAATTTCTTGTGATATAGTGGGCGGAATATTATTATATGAGACAATGCAATGCAGACGTCTTTCCAAATTTGGCAGATCGACAGGTAATCGGTGAGTTACCACGATAGTTGCTATTCAACAACTCGACAACGTCCCATCGTCAACGCCTGCTATGAGAATTTCCCATTGCAGACGCCAACGAAATGACGTCATCGAGCTATCGATCAACTACCCTGGTTATCGCCTGGTACCTTATAGCACGATGCTAGGAGGTGAACCGGAAGAATCGATGAGCTACCTCCCCCTATGATTGGTAAGGTAAGTATTCTAGTCGAAATTCTAGTACTACACTATGTTTGTTTTGATTCGCTGTGAAAGCTTGACAGATAAAATGAGGGGTTCGTGGATTTTCCTATGTTTCAAGGGGCGCATCCATTAGCTTGGGACCAAAGAGAGTAACAGAGCTGAGCCAAAAAGTTGAGCATATTTCTTCGGGACCTTCTAGTCTTAGTCCTCTATGGTCAAATCCTTGATAAATTCCGGGCGTACAACTTGCAGACTCACCATCTGTTTATTGATTTCAAAGCAGCGTACGATTCAGTGGAGATAAATGAGCTTTGGCAGATTATGCTAGAACATGGCTGATTAGACTGATTCGCGCAACGCTGGATGGATCGAAATCAAGTGTGCAGGTTGCAGATGAGATTTCGACCTCGTTCGCGATCTTAGATGGATTGAAGCAGGTCGTTGCACTTTCAAACTTATTTTTCAACATTGCTTTTCAAGGAGCGATTAGGAGAGCTGGTGTGCAGAGGAACGGTACCATCATCACACGATTGCACGTGCTCCTTGCCATTGCGGACGACATCGATGTCATCGGAATTAACCGTAGAACAGTGGAAGAGGCCCTTGTGCCTTTTAATAGGAAGACGGCGAGCATTGAGCTCACGATAAGTTCTACCAAAACTAAGTACATGGTAGCCGGTAGACAGCGTGGTAGCAATAGTGGTTTTCGTAGTGAAGTGAACAATTTAAGGTAGTGGAAGAATTTGTGTATCTTGGAACACTAGTGACATGCGATAATGATGTTACCCGCGAGGTGAAGAGACGTATTGCAGCTGCAAACAGGGCTTTTTACGGATTACGTAACCAGCTGAAGTCCCGTAGCTTGCAAAAGGAAACGAAATTTGAATAAGGAGCTGATACTTCCGGTGGCTCTCTACGGCCATGAATCGTGGACGTTAAAGGAGACTGACTGGAGAGCATTTGGTGTCTTCGAGCGAAAGGTGCTACGAACAAAACTCGGCGGTAAACAAGAAAATGGCATCTGGCAGCGTCCCATGAATCACGAGTTGTACCATGTGTATAACGAAACAGATACAGCGAAGCGTATAAAACACGACAGACTACGGTGGGCTGGACATGTAGTGCGGATGCCGGAAGAACGACAAGATTATAGTCAGCAGAGAACCCGGTAGAGGTCGTTGACTCCGGGGTAGACCTCGTACACGTTGGCTTTTTGCAGTAGAGGAGGACATCAGGTCATTAAAAGTTCGTGGTGACTAGAAGCGTTTGGCTCAGGACCGAGTCCAGTGGAGAAGACTACTTCGTTCGGCGCAGAATCAACAAGGCGATTCGTAGCCCATCAAGTATCAAGTAAGTAGGTATTTATCACAATGTACTTCGTATTTATAGCTTAAGATCACGTGTAACCCTCGTCTATCCACATGAAAGTGTGTTTAATCTTTTGCTCTGTGAATATTTTTAAAATCGTTTTTTGCTACTAAAGGGTGTCCCACATCAAATTGCATCACGGAAAAAACGCTGTTGAAAATAACCTAGTTGACCTAGTTGAAGGATCTCAAACTTTCAGACAATAAAGTATACTCCATTAGTAAGCTTTTAGCATATTTATTTCATTCAACTTCAATACCATAACCGTACGCCCGCACCTTACGCTTGAATCCACTTATTAGGTTCTGTACAACATCTGGCTGCAGCTTCCTCTGTACGAAAACCCACTTTTTCTTCATGTCTTCCTCAGATTTGACCTCCTTGGGATGCTTCCGTAGTGCCTGTGTCATATTAGCCCAGTATTTTTCGATGGGCCTTACTTCCGATGCGTTGGGGGGGGGGAGGGGGTTTCATGTCCTTGGGTACGAAAGTGAACCCGTCGGCTTCGTACCACTCCAGGACAACATTTGAATAGTGGCACGAAGCTAGATCCGGTCAGAAGATCGTAGGGCCCTCGTGTTGCTTCAAAAGAGGAAACAGACGCTTCTGTAGACATTCCTTGAGGTAGATCTCCCCATTTACAGTTCCGGTAGTCACAAACGGCGCACTCCGTTTGCCACATGAGCAGATCGCTCGCCAAATCATGTATTTCTTGGCAAACTTTGTAAGTTTCTGCTTCCTTACTTCAAGTTCAGAATATCAAATTTGTGCTGGGCAGTGAAGAATAGTAGCCCCGAAAGCTGCCGGAAGTCCGCCTTGACGTAAGTCTCATCATCCATGATGATGCTTCGTCAGCCTCTGGGTGTACAGTTTCCGGGCCCGTGACTTTCCCTGCGTATATTGCCGTTCGTAACGATTTGGAGCCTTCTGCACTTAGTAAGTATGCAGTCCCTCCCGGTCCTTGGCTCTCTGAACGAAAGACTTAGACAGATTCAACTTTTTGGCCACATCCCTGACCGAAGCATTGGGATTCCGCTAAAACGCTTTCACGACACGCTTGTGACCCTGATCACTAGTAGAACATCCATTCTGACCGCATTTCTCCTTCTGTTCGATGCTCAGAGTTTCGTAGTAACGTTTAATCACACGACTCACCGTTTACTGCACGATTCCGAGTTGTTTTCCGATGTACCGATGAGAGAGTTGAGGATTTTCCAGGTGCTTGCGCAAAATCAATTCGCGACGTTGCTTGTCGGGTGACGCCATTTCTTCCAACTTTCGAAAAACTGACAGCGATAAAAATACAGTGTAAACACTCTTAACAACATCTACCAAAATGTTAAAGAGAAATTATCCAATCAGCGAATCCAAACACATAAAGCAACCAACGATACAGACAAAACGGTTGCTTCGACTACTATGACAAACTCTATAACATAGCTCGATCCGAGTGGTAAAAGGATAATGATATATTGCTTGCCTGCTTTGTTGCAATATACACGGATGAGGACATAGCTTGATATGAATTGAGAAAAGACATAACAAAAAAATTCCCATTAACACACGTGTATCATCTTCGGCTCTACTTCGTGAAGCAGTTTTCCAATAATTTGCTCGTTTCCTTCTACCGCCCCGAGTGAGTTGTGTCGCACAGGCTGCTTGTCATGAAAAAGAACGAAGAAGATTACATCATTATTGCTTTGCACTTCTGACATAGCGTTATTATTCGGTTCATTGATCACTTATCATTTTGTCATTTGGAGATATTTTTGATTCCTTGAATAGCCTTTTATTAACTTTACACTACTATTTAAATAAAACAACTGGTATATGTTATCTACAAACACTTCAGGAGTTCAAGGAACATATTTTAGTCATCATTTTCTAGATATTCAAGATATTTGCATCAATAAACATTTTTCAATTTTGGCACAAACCCCGTCTTGCAGTATCTTTACAATAGTTGCGAACCAAATGAATTTATCTTCTCCTGTGCCGTAAGTCAAGTTTTGAGAGCTATTCAGCATTATAACATATGCTTAAAGATGTATATTGTTTTCGTGTGTTACATATAAACTGTTTCTTTTTTCCCTTGATTTGTTTTCCGTCGATCTTGTTTTCCGTGCTGAGCACCAATGCTACCGACGCCAGGGAGACAGCTCCCACACCTGGGCCCTACCTATCGACCCATCAACTCATGAACCGGGGACCAACGGCTTTACTTCCCATCCGAAGGAAGGCGTGATCAGAGATGTTATGCCTCAGAGAACATCCCGGCGGCGCCGACTGGGATTGAACCCAGGCCTACTGGGGTGAGAGGTAATCACGCTTACCACTACACCACTGGCGCCGCTTGAACTGTTTCTTGTTCAACAAGTAAATTATTCATGTCATACAATACTCGTTACCGCAAGTGTCGATTAGAGTATTGAAAGCTAGGAAAGGTGTCATCCTACACCTAGTCAGCGTAACAATTTATCAGTAACCACTTGATCGTATATCAGCGATCTTTATTTTGTATTCGCAATATACCTAGTTATATCAACGAGCGTTGCTTCCTACGCTGTTAACCGGTTTAACTCATTGCCTTGCGCTCAATCAACACCCGGATAGCTATTCTCATCCATCATCGGTAGTTTATAATTAATGCTCGGAATCACTAATTAGAGTTAGGAATATTTTCTTTGACGAATCTCACGAATTGCAAGAATCATTCATGTTTTTTAGATTATTTTATACGAAGTCACTTGATTCATGACCAAGTGCCACGTGTTTTATTAATTCAATTGGGGATTGATATTGGATTTTGATCTTCTTCTCACAGTTGTTCAGTTCCTTTAAACCAGTCTTCAACATCGTATTCCTTGTGAAATTCATAAGTGGTTAAGCCTGTGCGATTTTTTAATTCGTATATCGTATGGGTAATAGAGAAGTCGAGAAATGTCTTGACCAGACCGAGAATCGGACCCATCGCCTCCAGCATGGCCTTGCATTATAGATGAATCTATACTGCCTAATGAAGTGGCGTATTGAGATGTAGCTTCTTGGCATTTCCCAATAAAGGAATCCCCATAACTTTCGCGAGTCAACATTGATCTAATGAATCACAGATTTTCCAACTCAGCAGTTTTGGGAGACTGAATGAAAGCATAAGAGACGAACCATGCAATGAGTTGCACTAAAAGTGGGATTCCGCAAGTAAGGGAAACATGCGAATTGTTTACACAAATCATGCTGGCTCGATGAGAAGTTACACGGGGAATCACCCATGAACATGACCAGTCATTGCTACTCTTACTGCTAATACAAATGACTATCTATTGTAACGTAAAAACTGTACTCATGTAATTGCAACTTGTATACCCGTATTGACCCAAACGTATGGATCACCAATTAACAAAGCGATTACATCTGAATAAATGATCCACTCCAACAAAGAACAGCTACGAGCGATATCAAGATAGATAAAAAAGAAAACATTAAATTGGACATCGTCCTTTGGAGTGAATAAAGATAAAAACAGAGACCACAATGATTCCGGTAAAAGCCACCTTTGTGACTCCGGCTGTCTGTGGTGCAATAGAAATGGTTCTAATGAAAGGCTGCTGCCGTTTCTTTCATGGCTTTGTGGGTGTTTGTTTTCCGCAATGAAATACCAGTTAGGTACAAATAAACAACCTATTCGGACCGAGGCCAGTCGAGTGCACCGTTTTAATTTCTCATTTGCTGTGCACATTCAAAGCCATCGTGGGAGGAATGATTCCAGTATTTGCACAGTGTGATTACCAGCTGCATTTCAAACGGAATTGAAATTTGCCGGTACTATCGGATGGATGATGTTGGTCAGGCTTCTTTCATAATGCTGACTATGCGTTTTGATGCACGACTTGAGCACTTACTCAAAATCTATCCTATCACTATTAATTAACATGCGAATATTTTTTTTTCTTTTAGCATCCAAATCTTTTTTTTTCAATTTTCTGAAAGCACAAGCTTAACCTTTCACTTTTTATCATTCTGTTTTTGTTTTGTATTCAAATGTAGAATCATTTTATTCATTTGACAGAGTGTTTTTAAATAAGTCTTCACAGCGGTCAATTTAGCCGTACGTTTGTTTTAGTTTCATGAGGATGTCACAGCGGCGCCGGTGGTGTAATGGTAAGCGTGATTACCTCTCACCCCAGTAGGCCTGGGTTCAATCCCAGTAGGCGCTGCCGGTATGTTCTGAGGGAAGTAAAGCCGTTGGTCCCCGGTTCATGAGTTGATGGGTCGATAGGGGTACGGTCCAGGTGTGAGGGGTTCCTCCCTGGTGTCGGTAGCACTGGTGCTCAGTACGGAAAACAAGATCGACGAAAAACAAATCAAGGAGAAGAAAAAATGAATGAGGATGTCACAGAGGTTTGAAACTAGAAATCGTGCGTTTTGTTTTTATTTTGGTTTTGTAAGCGAGATTTTAGAAGGATAGTGTCTTCAGAAGATTTCGTGGGGACATAGTGGGTTTTCTTTTGAAATCATAATACCAGTGATCAGTGTTGGAAAAGTTCACCAAAACTCACTATGACTCGCGAACTTTTCCCTTGGTGAACTTCGTGAAATATCGCAATCTTTTCCAACGCTGTCAGTGCACTATCAACCTGCAACCCCAGACAGCCTTTGACAATACACTATTTATTCTTCTTCTTATTCTTCTTCTTATTCTTATTCTTATTCTTCTTCTTATTCTTCTTCTTATTCTTCTTCTTATTCTTCTTCTTATTCTTCTTCTTCTTCTTTGAATTTCAAGTTGATAGCTTATCACATATTTGTTTATTGCGTGTGCACTTTCACAGTAATTAATTGAGAGCTTGCGATGCACGTACCATTTTTGCATTTATATAATTGTGTGGCAAGTAAAATCATAATCAATGCCCAGAGAAGTCGATAAATTTTCCTAAACGAAAAATTCCTAGACTAGACCGGGAATCGAACCCACACCGTTTGAAAAATTCATGTGAATTTCGGCGAGATATAGCGCACATAAAATTAACGCTAGATTTGGCATACATTTTCATGATATTTCGTGTGAATTTAAGTGCAATATTGCTTAAATTATCAATATTGTATGCAAGCTTGTAAACGAGTTCGTTTGTTATGCCTGCTGTAGCTCAAAATTAAACGAGGAGAGATTTTACGCGATAGTTAAAATTCAGAATTTTTTTCTGTGCAGCCACCTCTAGCATGGTCTTGCTTTGTACCGACTGAGCTAAGCGAGGCCCTACCAATGCACTGCTAGAATTGTAAAATACTATAGATTTAGTCGAAACCGTACAAGCCTATGTACTTCATCGCATTTTATTTTTCATCGTATATAATGCAAGTTTTCGACATTCATACTATGTTCCTTTTTTGCATCGTCAACAGAACACTCCAT